CCTTGTAGGGTAATCTCTGCGTGGAGCCACCTTGGCTGGGTGCTGGCGCCGGGGGAGGAATGCATCCCCATGGGCCAAGTCGTTCGCTTGAGCTGTGGGATGCTCTGAAGGAGAGTGGCACCGCACCTTTCAGTGCCCGAACCTCTCCAGAAGGGATTTTACGGCTCTGCTGCCTTGCTTTTTATTTTTCTTTTTTATTTCCCTCTCTCTCCTGTTTTGTGTGTGTGTGTGTGTGCATGTGCCATGCCGTAGAAACGGAAGAGCAGAGGGAAGCTCTCGGTGCTGCTGCCCTGGTATTGCAAAGGGATGGGAGGAGGATTTCCCTTTTGGTTTTCTCCTGGGGTCTCAGCTGAAGCTTGGGGTGCCCTGGTGCGGTGGGGGAGATGTGCAATTTGCAGAGCTACGAAAGTTGCGGTGTTTCCCTCGGTGGAGGGAGTGATCCGGGCTGGTGGCTGGAGCCTGCATCCCTCCAGCATCACCTTTTCCAGGAACCTGTTAAGAGGAAAATCAAAAGCAATAAGGAAAAACCTCCCAAAAGGCCTCGGCTGTCCTGATGGGGAGCAGATCTTGTAGGAGATGAGCTCGCATTATTCGGTTGCAGATTTGCAAGAGTTGAAGGACTGCGACACCCCTGAGAAGTTTGGTGTGAGGCGGGAGCCAGATGGATCGTGACCACCCCATCATTCCCGCAAACAGATCCCTGCATCCCCCCTGCTGCTGTCACCAGGGAGCGGAGAGGAGGGCCAGACACCAGCACGGAGGGACCTGCACCCTGTTAAAGCTAAGAGGGTGCCGGACCCTCGGCTGGCTGCAGTTCTTGTGGAAACACACGACTCGCGCTCTGCCGGGAGGGTTCCTTAGAGGCCCGAGAGTAACATTTTGGAGCATCCGCTGTGGTTAAACGCTTCTTGTTGGCGTTGCAGCCCTGTCCCTTTCCTGTCCTTGCCTGCCGTGCAGCTCTCCAGCCAGCACTGGAAAGAAATTTTGGCAGAAGTTGCGAAAAAGTTTTTTTTAGTTTGTTTCCCCCCCCTCTCTCTCCTGTTATTTATTAACTCCCCTGGAAGCTTGTCAGCACCAGGGTTGGCAGCGGGCGCAGAGCCTCGCTGGTAACCCCGGGCAGGACCCCTATTTATCAAGAGCACAGGAACAGCGGTCCTCTGCGAGATGGGTTTGGTGATGTGCGCAGTGATGAAAGATAGAGAAATACAGTAGAAAGATTCATGATAAGTGATTTTTCTAACTGTTCTCAGAAAGTGCTGCCTTGTGGGTGTTTGGGGTTTTTGTTTGGTTCTTGGTTTTGTTTTGTTTTTTTAAGAAAAGGGACCTGTTCTGGGCAGACGGAGCTGCCAGCAGGGTCTCTCCCAGCCCCGGGCTGAAGAGTAGCTGCCGCCTCGGGGGGCCAGGGACGCTGCTGTCGACTGCTTGAAAACTGGGGATCTAGTTGGTGTGAGTCAAGCTCTGGCAGGGATTTCAAGGCTGCTCGCACCGAGATCAAGCTGAAAACCATAGCTTTCCTTTGGGCCACATGTTGCCTGTTGCCTTCCATGTCCAACTCCATCCATCGGTAGGGTGGGCGAAGGGAGGAGGGAAGCCCTGGGGCTGGGACAGCAACTGCAATGGGTAGATTGGACCTTGCTAGTTGTTCTGGAGGTATATATGGATGTAAATATATATATATACACACATGTATAGTGTGTGTAAGTAGTGTAGCCTATGGAGCAGTATCCATCTATCTGGCTGCGGCAGGGACCGGGCTGTGGGATGCAGTGCGCTTCCTCCTCTCTGCGCTGCTGCCTTTCCCTGGGTGCTCCTGATGCTCTCGTTAGGAGCAATAATGAGGGATCCCTGCCTGCTCGCCTTCCCGCTGTTCCTGCCTGCGTGGCTCCGAGTCATCCCTTTTCCAAGCTCCTGCAAGCTGAGGGTGCCGAGCCCTTCCTCTCCTGGGGACCAGCATCCTCCTCCTCCTGCAGCCTGAGCTGCCGCGGCTGCCGTCGGGCCAGCTCCGTGCAGACGGGATGCCAGGTCCCTGCTGGGATCAACCCAGGAGCAACCTCTCTTGATAACAAAAGCAGGGAGCTGGTTTGCTTTTGAACCCTCACCAATACTTTTTCTTCTCTTTTTTTCCTTCATTTCAGGAGAAGAGGACAAGAAATGAATGACACGAAGGAAACGCTCCTAACTAAAGGATCCCTAACTTGTAACTCGGACTGAAGTCTTGCATGCATGACCATTGCTAGAAGCCAGCAGGACATGCATGTGTCCGACTATCAGACAAATGCGGGTGAATCGTCGAAAAGAAAAATACTGATTTTGTTTTGTTTCGTAGCTTTCTTTTTCCTGTACATAAGAGTGCAATTACTGGACAGCTGACGTAGGGTTTGGGGATGGAGCTGTGTGGACCTGGGTTGTCATAAACGCGGTTCCTTGGGGGTTTGTTCCTGCAAAATTTGAGACCCTCTTTCCAATTTTCACCCAGAGCGGGTGAGCTCAGGCAAGGCGTCATTCATGGGAGATCAAGGTGGGGGAGTCCAGATTTTAGGCAACACCTGAGCGCAGATGGGAGGCTGCATCCCCCAGCAGGGTGGGATGCTCAAGGGCAGCTCACGGGGCTGGGAAGGGCTTGGCAGTGGGCGAGGGGGCCATGGGTTGGGGTCACTGACCCTCAATGATGTCCGCGGTGTCAGTGGGCACATCGCTGTGGCCGCTGCGCTCTGCTCCGGCAGCCACATTGCCTGCGGGCTGCAGCAGCTGAAAATACCTTCACGGTGTGACCACTGGTTCCGGGAGTCTCGCAGACGTGTGTTTGTACGTCGAGGTCGGGTGCGTGCGGTGGAAGGTGAAGTTGTCCCCATTTATCACCCTGTCCCGTTTGATCCCTGTGTGGTGGAAAGCCGCGTGCCTTCTCCAGCTCATCTGACACCAAAGCATGCCGTAGCCTGGTCTATTCTCCTCCGTCCGGCGTCTTGTTAGGTCCCGTCTGCGTTATTTAAGCCGTAGCCCTCTTCCTCATAGGGGCAACTATTTAAAGCAAAGCATGGAGATGACCGACTTTGCATTCCTTGTGTCGACCGCTCTCTCCTGGTCACCCTTTCTTTCCTCAGTTGATTTTTAACTATTTCTCTAGCAGGAGTAGAGCTTAAGTCCTTAGGAGCATGTCCACGAGTTCGTGTCCTCTGCTTTGGAGGACGTCGCTGTCTTGCACAGGGCATCCTTGACACCGGTGAGCCGCCTTCGAGACGGGAATGAATGTATGCTTGTACATAACGTAGTCCTTCTCCGTGAGCAGTGCTTGTCATGGCATCCCTTTTTATAAGGCACCAACTTGATTTTATCCTCTTGGGATTTTTCAGCAGCAGGAGTGACACAGGCTCCAGTGAGTTTGTAGATCAGGAGTGGATTTTGGGATCCAGTAAACTGATCTTTCTCCATTGAGCTGTGTCAGCCGAGAAGGGGATAGCGGGTGATTTCTTCTCCAGCTCTCCAAACCCTCTCTCCTGTTTTCCTCACATTCCCCTATGATCCAGCCTGATGATATTTAGTTAGCAAGACTCTACATCTTTCCTTTCTCTTAAATTCCAGGAACAGCACTAGATTTTTGGATAGCATTTCTATTTCCTTTGCTGTTGGGTTTTTTTTCCTTTTACTTTTTGCCTCTTAAAAGCTTCCAGTGCTTTTCTGTTTCTCTTTCACCTGGGCAAGAGCTGCTCTTCCTCTGTACAGTAGGTGCCAAACATCATCCCTCCTTTCTTTTCTCCGTCACCAGCATTGAAAATGAGCAGAGCCCCCAGACCAATGGGAATGTACAGAATTGTTATACTACTGAACTGATTTAATTGTACAGAAAACCTTGCATGAAATGTTGTTACTGTATTTAATATATAATGTATTCAAGGAATTTTAATATGGAGCTCTTTAAAAAGATCTTTATAGATACTCTGTGGTTAGAAAATTGTTGCTGATTTTTTTTTTTTTAATATTATTATACTTTGTCTTGAAGAAGTTTTATTTTTCAAATGTGTTATGTCTAATTGATTTAATTGGTGGCCCCATGGGGCAACCAATTCCTCTTTAAAGATTTTCACCGTGGATGAGCCTCACCCTGGCGCAGAGGACCAGGTACTGCTTAAGCCTTCAGAATAAGGCTTCAGTAAGGCTAACACTGTAGACGTGTGATTTACCCTTCCCCGAAAGGGTGGATTTCTCCTTCTTTTAGTACAGATCATCTCCAGCTCTCTCTGCGGGGAAAGAACCAGGAGGAATTTAATCCGGTACCAGCTCGGTGACTTCAGAGGAAATTGCTTCTGCATTTCCCTGAGGCTGAAAACCAGTTTGGGAGAGGCTGGACCAGATTCAGAGCATCTCAGCCCTGTTCATAGGGTCCAGCGGGGCTTTCGGCTGCCCGATGGCATCTCCCTGGGACATGGTGG